AGAGTGAAACTCCGTCTCAAAAAAAAAAAAAGAGATGGGATCTCACTATGTTGCTCAGGCTAACCTCTCAAATCCTGGGCTCAAGCAATCTTCCAGTCTCGGCCTCCTGAGTAGCTGTGACTACAGGCACATGACGCCATCTCTGGCTACTTTTATATTTTTAAACATTTATTTATTTACTGAGAGACAGGGTCTCACTTTGTCACCCAGGCTAGAGTGTAGTGGTGTAATCATGGCTCACTGCAGCTTTGACCTCCCAGGCTCAGGTGATCCTCTCACCTCAGCCTCCTGAGTGGCTAAGACCACAGGTGTGTGCCACCATGCCCAGCTAATTTTTGTATTTTTTGTAGAGACAAGGTTTTGTTCGCCATGTTGCCCATGCTGGTCTTAAACTCCTGGGCTCAAGCAATCTGCCTGCCTTGGCCTCCCAAAGTGCTAGGATTACAGGTGTGAGCCATTTCACCTGGTCTATTTATTTATTTTGAGACAGGTTCTCACTCTGTCACCCAGGCTGGAAGGCAGTGGTACAATCACAGCTCACTGACGTCTTGACCTCCCAGGGTCGAGCAATCCTCCCACCTCAGTCAGCTTCCCAAGTAGCTGGGACTATAGGTTCACATCACCACCCCCTGTTAAATATACATTTTTAATTGTTTAAATTATAATACATGTTAGCTGGACACAGTGGCTCATGCCTATAATCCCAGCACTTTGGGAGGCTGAGGTAGGCGGATCACCTGAGGTCGGAAGTTCGAGACCAGCCTGACCAGCATAGAGAAACCCCATCTCTACTAAAAATACAAAAAATTAGCTGGGCATGGTGGTGCATGCCTGTAATCCTAGCTACTTGGGAGGCTGAGGCAGGAGAATGGCTTGAACCTCGGAGGCAGAGGTTGTGGTGAGCTGAGATCATGCCATTGCACTCCAGCCTGGGCAACAAGAGTGAAACTGTGTCTCGAATAAATAAACAAATAAATAAATAAATGTTAAATGAATATCTATAAATTAATGTTGCTATTCTTTCTTGACATTAAGCATTTTCCATGCTTTTACATTTTATTACTTATACTTGTATGCTATAATATGCACACAAGTAATATTCCATTGTGTTGATACAGCTATCTTTATCCCCCTTAATATAAGATCTGCTTTTTTATTGCTGTTGTTTTTATTTTTTATTTTTTTGAGGCAGGGTCTCACTCTTGCCCAGGCTGGAGTGCAGTGATGCAATCTTGGCTCATGGCAACTTCTGCTTCCTGGGTTCAAGCGATTCTCCTGCCTCAGCCTCCCAAGTAGCTGGGACTACTGCCCTCCACCATGCCTGTTCAATTTTATTATTATTATTTTTTTTGTATTTTAGTAGAGGCGGGGTTTCGCCGTGTTGGCCAGGCTGGTCTCAAACTTCTGACCTCAGGTGATCTGCCCACCTCAGCCTCCCAAAGTGCTGGGATTACAGGCATGAGCCACCGTGCTCAGCCAAGACCTGTTTTTTGTTTTTGTTTTCTTTTTGGAGATGGAGTCTTGCTCTGTCGCCAGGCTGGAGTGCATGGGGTGATCTCAACTCACTGCAACCTCTGCCTCCCGGGTTCAAGCGATTCTTCTCCCTCAGCCTCCTGAGTAGCTGGGACTACAGGTGTGTGTCAGTGTGCCTAGCTTCTTTTTGTATTTTTAGTAGAGACTGGGTTTCACCATGTTGGCCAGAATGGTCTCAATCTCCTGACCTTGTGATCTGCCCACTGTGGCCTCCCAAAGTGCTGGAATTTTAGGTGTGAGCCACCCCACCCAGCCTAAGACCTGTTTTTTACTCCCCAACATTTTCTTATTTTTTATTACAAATAAAGATACATTGGATATGCTGGGGGCGGGGCGGGGAAGAGCTATGTATTTCTTTTTCTATTCTTTTTTTTTTTTTTTTTTGAGACAGAGTATCACTCTGTCACCAGGCTGGAGTGCAGTGGCATGTTTTCGGCTCACTGTAACCTCCGACTCCCTAAATTCAAGTGATTCCCCTTCCTCAGCCTCCCGAGGAGCTGAGATTACAGACATGTGCCACCACGCCCAGCTAATTTTTGTATTTTTAGTAGAGATGGGATTTTACCATGTTGGCCAGGATGGTCTCAATCTCCTGACCTTGTGATCCATCCACCTTGGCCTGCCAAAGTGCTGGGATTACAGCCGTGAGCCACCACGCCCGACTGTATTTCTTAAATGAATGGACAAGCCTGTAACCCCAGCACTTTGGGAGGCCAAGGTGGACGGATCACCTGAGGTCAGGAGTTTGAGACCAGCCTGACCAACATGGAGAGACCCGTCTCTACTAAGAGAACAAAAATTAGCTAGGCATGGTGGCACATGCCTGTAATCCAAGCTACTCGGGAGGCTGAGGCAGGAGAATCGCTTGAATCTGGGAGGCAGAGATTGTAGTGAGCTGAGATCTCACCATTGCACTCTAGCCTTGACAAGAGCGAAATTGCGTCTCTAAATAAATAAATAAATACATATATAAATGAAGTTATGAAGTTGATTAAGGTTGAGAGGAAAATGGCCATATGAAGGAAGGCTTTTAACAGGGGGATTTGTCTTAGAATCAGTTCTCAAGAGAGCTGAAGTGCCATGTATCACTATCCTCAAGAAACTTCCCTCCCTTCTTTGCCTCTTCTTGGTCCTCCTGCTTTCCTTTTAAAGTCTGATGAGCAGATATTATTAAATAGTAATCATTCCATCTCAAGCTTAACATCCTAAACTCAACTTGGCCTAAACAAAACTCTTAATTCTAACCCCACATATCCCCCATAAAAACATGCTTTGCCTGCATACTTCCTCAACTTAACATGGTTCTTCTTTTCCCCTCATGCTCCACACTTAACCCTCTATAGCATGCTCAAAACACATCCAGAATTAAGCCACTTTTCTCCAACTCTACTCCCTCATCCTAGTCAAATCCACTTTCATCTCTCACTTGAATTTTTTTTTTTTTTTTTTTTTTTTAGACAGAGTCTCGCTCTGTCGCCAGGCTCCAGGCTGGAGTGCAGTGGCACGATCTCTGCTCACTGCAACCTCCGCCTCCTGGGTTCAAGCAATTCTTCTGCCTCAGCCTCCCAAATAGCTGGGACTACAGGCACACGCCACCACGCCCAGCTAATTTTTGTATTTTTAGTAGAGACAGGGTTTCACCATGTTGGCCAGGATGGTCTTGATCTCTTGACCTCGTGATCTGCCCTCCTCGGCCTCCCAAAGTGCTGGGATTACAGGTGTGAGCCACAGCGCCCGACTCACTTGGATTAATCTGAACAGAACCTTGTCTCTCTGCTTCCTCTGGTTCTTGGCTGCCCTTTCTCCTTTCCTTGCGCTAACAGCCAGAGTAGTTTCTTTAAAATTCCAATCAGATCATGCTGCTTCCCTTTTTAAAATTCCATGAAAGTTCCCACTGCAGCTTGAATAAAATCCAAACTCTTTACCCTGATCTACAAAGCCCTCTCCATCTGTACTCCCCACTGCTGTCCCCACTCCTCACCCTTATCTGCTCCAGCCACACTGGTCTTTCTCATGCCAAACTCCTTCCTGAACTTGTTCCAGCCTGGCTTCCCTGGAACACCCTACCTAAAGATGACTTTGGCTGCTTTCGTCCCCAGTTTAGTTCTCAGCTCAGTGTCACCTCCCACCTTCTCAAAGACCTTTGCAGATCACCACAGCTAAGACAGCACCCCTTCAATTAAAAGTTGACCATTTTCAGCCAGGCGCAGTGGCTCATACCTGTAATCCCAGCACTTTGGGAAGCTGAGGTGGGCAGATCACTTGAGATCAGCAGTTCAAGACCAGCCTGGTGAAACCCCCCCTTTACTAAAAATACAAAAAATTAGCCAGGTGTGGTATTGTGCACCTATAGCCCCAGCTACTTGGGAGACTGAGGCAGGAGAATCACTTGAACTCAGGAGGCAGAGGTTGTAGTGAGCTGAGATCGTGCCATTGCATTCCAGCCAGGGAGCCTGGGCAACAGAGTAAAAAAAAAGTTTGCCATTTTAGTTTTCCTTTCTTAACAGCACTTAAATGGCCTGAAATTATCTTAGTGTTTACTCGCTCTGTGAGACCAGGTCCTTGTTTATCACCATATTATCTATAATTAGAAAAGTGAGAACAGGGCCTGACCTTAGTAAAGACTTCAATAAATATCAGTTAAATACTGAGTGAATTACACACTTCTGACTGCTATACTCAAAGATTTTTCTTCCTGGAAAATTGATCTCAAAGGGAAAGCAAGGTGATGTTCATATGTTTATGTTAACATAAATGTTACAGAACCTTAGCGTTGATCCAGACCTAAGCTTTCAGAAGCAAATTAACAGGCAAGCTAACACCCAGAGCTATTCTCTGTATTAAATGTTACAACTGATCTTGACAATACACCCAAGAGGAATTCTATTTTAATCCTGCATTTCTTAAAATGACTAACACCAAGGTTTAGTCATAACATATATATCCCTTCTCAACAGTGCTTAAAAGTTTGTAAACATGCCAGGATCCCCTGATGAGAAATCACAGTCAATAAAAGTTTCCTGGGACACAGTAATAGCTCAGTAAACATTTACTAAGTGAATAATATTTTATTTTACTTTTTACTTTATTTACTTTTTTATTTTTTGAGACAGGATCTCACTATCATCCAGGCTGGAGTGTAGTGGCAATTATGGTTTACTGCAGCCTTGGCCTCCTGGGCTCAAGCAATCCTCCCACTTTAGCCTCCCAAGAAGCTGGGATTACAGGCAGGTGGCATCATGCCCCATCTAATTTTTGTATGTTTTGTCGAGATGGGTTCAAGTGATCCTCCCACCTCAGCCTCCCAAAGTGCTGGGATTACAGGCATGAGCCACCGCACTCAGCCATGAATGATATTTTAATGTTTTCTAACTTTGTAATGTTATTGAAAAAATATTCCTCTCTAGTTTCAAATATGCTAATATCTCTGAGGTATCAAAAAAATAAAACCAATGCTCACAAGAAAATAAAAGGGGAAATGGAAGTTTTTATTAGTGAAATAAGTCTGTTTATTTTCTTTCCAACAAGGCCTTTTGCTCCTATAATTGAGACAAACCATTTTACACTTTATAATAACATAACTTAGTTTTTAGTATTTTCAAAAGGGAAAGATTTTGAGTGGGGGGAATTTAGGAAATCAAATATTTTAGAAAGAGTAACTACAGAGTTACTTTTTCAATTTTAATACAGTAACAGACTTGACTACCAGGTATATTACCCAGCATTTTTTCTTACAAGGAATCTATCAAGTACTAGCCAACAAATAATCTACATTTAAAAAGGTTTATATTTAAATAGAAACAAGCATCGAAAATACAAAAATCACATGTCTTTAACAAGGCAATTTACATAATTAGGTGTAAATTATTAATTAACTTTATGTTCCTTAGGATCCTAGCAAACACTCAGTTTACTGTATTTCAAGCTCAAACTGCACTCAACTGGCTATAAAGGTAAACATCACAATGGAATTGCGCCAGTTTGACTAGGGAAAAAGATCACTTCAACATTATGCATTTCCTTTCTTTAAAAGCAGGGATTAAGTCAGGGCCATCTTGGTTCTGAATCTCTCCATTTTTGCTGGGAGAAGACTAACCATCTCTTTACTAAGTTCTAGCTCAACTTCTATTTCCTGGGCAGCCTCAGGATGCTTTTCACAGTAATCAACAATAAATTTGTAATGTTCCAATGATGTTGCCAGATTTTCCAGCTCTTTCTTGGGATCCATAGTAATGATTTTGCCATAGAGACTGGCAACTCGAAACTTCGCTAACATGGCAGGGCGAAGAACATCTTCCCCTATATGCTCAGGAAATACTTTATTTGGGTCTCTCAGGGAGTCTAAGAAGAGCTGGTAGTACTTCAATGCTGACTTATTAAGATTATTTATTTTTTTTACAATGTGTGAATCAGGATCCCTTAGCCTGTCAGCAATGGTGACCTTCAAATCCATCATATCATAGTAAGCATGTGCAATTTCAAACTGGATCTGTCTGTTGACCAACAGATAATACTGTGGATTCAGGTCTACAGTTAGGGGCTCTAGCATGGCTATTCTGCGTTTATGCATCTTGCACCGTCTCTCCATGTCAGTTTCAAAGAATGCAAGCACCTTAAACAGAGCACTGTGGTCTTGGACAACTTCAATATGGTCAGTGACATAACCATCAATCTGAAAGAACTGTTTGGCCTCAAAGACATAGTGCTGACCCAATAAGAAAAGTTCTCTGGCTTCTTCAAAATCTAAAGGTTTCAAGTAGCTCACTTTCTCTTCTACTGCAGAGATGGCATCACACAGTTCACCAGTTCCAAATTGCACAGCTTTTTTCCGAATGCTTTCCTCCTCATCCAGTTCTTTTTTCCTTAAAGCTCTAAGTTCAGACTGTTTATCTAGGTCAAGCTCTCCTATGTTGTCCTGAAGAAAAAAGAAATTATGGTTAAGTAGAACGCTCACCTCCTGTTGTTAAAAAATATTAAAGCAAACTTCAGAGTAAAGAAAAGTCTCTTACTTTCCAGCCTGGTTTAGGGAGGTATCATAATCTTAAACACCTTTGAAAACTACTTTCTTTCTTCCAATCATATTAAAAACTCAGCAAATGTGAAAAAAGAGTATTTAAATAAATTAGACAAGCTGCTTATATATAATTTATTCTAAGGAACTGAAATTCATTTACAGTTACTCCTTCCAGTAAGATAAATGTTACATGTAAAAGTACTTTGAAAATTGTGAAACATTACATTCACATGATATATTAACAGTATTTATTTTTTAACATTGTAATAAGACTGTAATCTACATAAAAATATTTCACAAGGATGCAATTAAGATTAATGCTACCATGTTTATGCTGTTAAGCTTTTAATGAAATATATCAGAGAGAAATGCTCTAGGTCTCTTAAAGACATCAAAGTGAAGAAAGAGTTAAATCTACTTCATAAAGTTTTATTTATCTCCCCTGCCTTTTGGCAGGAGGAGCAAATTAAAAAAAGAAAAGAAAAAAGAACTAAGATGGTTAAAAAATAGAGTAAGCTCTTCTTGGCCAATAAAATTAAATAACAGATCCCAAGGCCTTTTCTTCTTTTCACTTGACATTGTCTCACTAGTGATCTTTCCACAAACCCTTCAAGGTTTCCAAGTGTTCAAAAGATGAAGACAACAATGCTTCAAAGCCTTGATTGCTCCAACCCCTTTCTAACTCTAACTTTACCTTATATCACACTCCCTCTCCCCCAGCTCCAACATCAAAGCCTTTGGTCCATCCCTTCTGATACCATCCTCCCTTACGCTAGGGAACTCCTAAACATGCTGTTTCAGCTCCTTGGAATGGTGTGCCTCCTTTTCTTCAGTCTAGGTAACTCCTACTCACTCATCCCTAGAGCTTGCTTTTTATTTCCTCCTATTGTGCCTTCTCATATCATGTGTCTCTCCTTTGTGGAACTTAACAAAATTGTACTTTTACATGAAGTCAAAGGCTAAATCCATTTTTGTTCATCATAGTATCCTTGGCCAATGATACTTTTATTTAGCAAAGTGTTGGCATAAATAAATACTTAATTGAATAAATTTGTGTATGTCTTTAAGCTTCAACTGAAGAAGGCCTTTCAGATAAATACACAGATAGATAAAGAATGAAGTTAAGGTTAAATAAGAAAGTCAGGGCCAAGTGCAGTGGCTCACACCAGTAATCCCAGCACTTTGGGAGGCCGATGTGGGTGGATGCTTGAGCTCAAGAGTTTAAGATCAGCCTGTGCAACATAGTGAAACATGGTCTAAAAAAATACAAAGAATTAGCCAGGCACAGTGGCACACACCGATGGTCCCAGTTACTTGGCAGGCCGATGTGGGAGGATCGCTTGAGCCAGAGAGGTGGAGGTTACAGTGAGCCGAGATCATGCCACTGCACTCCAGCCTAGGTGAGAGAGAACCCAACTCAAAAAACAAAATTCAGCCCCACCCAGCCCCACCTCTCCACGTGGGTGGTGGAGGCGTAGTGCTGCGACCTGGGTACCCCTTCGAACATAAAGCTGCGAGTGGTGTGGAGTGTGTGGGCCGTTCTCTGCACCCTGTGCGCAGTCCAGTCACCTGCAGCGTCCTGCCTGCCAAGGTCCTGGTCCTGGCAGCTGGGGGGCAGGCGCCATCCCAATGCTGCGCACGGGACCCGCTCTGATCTCAGTGTGTAAATTCACAGAGAAACAGGAATGGATAACAACAGAAAATGGTATTGGAATAGTGGGAATCAGCAATTTTGCACAGGAAACATTGGGAGACATTGTTTACTGTAGTCAGCTTAAAGTTGGCACGAAATTGAACAAACGATGAATTTGATGCTTTGGAAACTGTGAAAGATGCTAGTGAACTCTATTCTCCTTTATCGGAAGAAGTAACTCAAATTAATGAAGCCCTTGCAGAAAATCCAGGACATGTAAACAAATCTTGTTATGAGGATGGTTGGCTGATAAAGATGACACTGAGTAACCCTTCAGAACTAGATGAACTTATGAGTGAAGAAGCATATAAGAAATACATAAAATCTATTGAGGAGTGAAAACGGAACCTCTAAATAAACTAGTATGAAATAATGCAAAAAAAAAATCAGTTTAAGGAAAATCTGAGTAATTTAGTAGCATGGCAAATATGTGAGTTAAAACTAATCAAGTAATGAGGTTCTAAGTTCCTAGACTAGAAGCATTAACTAAATGAAAGATAAGGGTCAAATCACAGTGCATTTTACTTGATACAGTCACTTCAAATGTAGGTCGTAAGTTTCTAAATTTTGTATACTTCCTTCCTTCCTGGGCTGCTTGTTTATTTACTTGTTTTCTCTAGGATGCTTTCTTAAATTAGCCCACTGTTTTGTTCCAATAGTCCCTGTTTTGCTTCCAGTTTTCCTTACCTGATGAGAAGAAACCTGACAGTTCTTCCTGGCTCCAAATTCTCTAGACACAAAGCCCAACAGTTCTTCTATTTTGTTTTTTTGGTTTTTTTTGAGACAAAGTCTCGCTCTTGTCCCCAGGCTGGAGTGTAATGGCATGATCTAGGCTCACTGAAACCTCCACCTCCCTGGTTCAAGCGATTCTCCTGCCTCAGCCTCCTGAGTAGCTGGGATTACAGGCACCTGCCACTATGCCTGGCTAATTTTTGTATTTTCAGCAGAGACGGGGTTTCACCACGTTGGCCAGGCCGGTCTCCTGGCCTTAGGTAATTCGTCTGCCTTGGCCCCTCAAAGTGCTGGGATTACAGGCAAGAGCCACCTCACCAGGCCTGTCTTTCCTTAATATGCCTCATCTTTACCCACTAGCCTCTAAAATGATCTTTATCTTTTCAAGACCTAAGATGATGTGTTGAGGTTTATTTGCTTAGTTTTCTTTTGTTTTACAAAGTTCTACATTATTTACCACTGATACGGTCTGGATTTGTGTCCCTGAACAAATCTCATGTCAAATTGGCAGAGAGACCTGGTGGGACGTGACTGGATCATGGGGGCAGACTTCCTCCTTGCTGTTCTTGTGGTAGTGACAGAGCTCTCTCACAAGATCTGATGGGTTTAAAGTGTGTGGCATTTCCTGGTTTGCTCTCTCTCTCTCCTGCTCTGCCATGGTAAGACATGCCTTCCCTTTCACCTTCTGCCATGATTATGAGTTTCCTGAAGTCTCCCAGTCATGCTTCCTGTTAAACCTGCGGAAATGGGAGTCAACTAACCTCCTTTCTTCATAAATTACCCAGTTTTAGGTAATTTATGAAGAAAATTACTTTTTTTTTTGAGATAGGGCCTCACTCTGTCACCCAGACTGGAGTGCAGTGGCGCAATCTTGGCTCACTGCGACCTCTGCCTCCCAGCTCAAGTGATTCTCCTGCCTCAGCCTCCTGAGTAGCTGGGACTACAGGTGCGCACCACCATGCCTGGCTAATTTTTTTGTATTTTTGGTAGAGACAGGGTTTCAACATGTTGCCCAGGTTGGTCTCAAACTCATGAACTCAAGTGATCCGCCCACCTTAGCCTCCCAAAGCGCTGGGATTACAGGTATGAGGTGCTGCGCCTGGCCTCAGGTAGTTCTTTATAACAGTGTGAGAACAGACTAATACAACCACTAATGATCATTACACTTTTATGAAGCAGAGTCCTACAAAATAAAAAAAAAAAATGATCACGCTTTGATACACACAAAGAAAAACAGCAGCACAATGATTCCCCCAGGAAAGCTTCCTATGTATCCACACTTAGTATACTGCATCAAAATGATTAGTTTTATTATCCTCCCTATTGGTTAGGAAATAGAATTGGGCATAAATTAATAATGATGATGATAGTTAACATTTATTAAGGACTTAGTATGTCTCAGGCACTTTTCAGAGGCCTTAATATATACTGATTTAACTCTCATAACAACAGTATTAAGTAAGAACTATTATCTCCAACTTACTTGTGAGGAAATAAACGCAAAAAGATATTAAGTAAATTGCCACAAAGATACAGCTACGAAGTGGCAGAGCTGGAGTTCACACCTACCTAGTGTGTTTCCAGACTCCATGTTCTTCACTGCTTCTATTTTTGAACAATTACATGGGCTATTTCTTAAAAGTCTACCCTTTTAGATTTTATCAAGTTCATGCTGTGTGTAAGATAACACTGACAAATATATAAAGATTAATAAGGCCTTGGCCAGGTGCAGTGGCTCACGCCTGTAATCCCAGCACTTTGGGAAGCCGAGATGGGTGGATCACTTGAGGTCAGGAGTTCAAGATCAGCTTGGCCAACATGGTGAAACCCATCTCTACTAAAAATACAAAAATTAGCCAGGTGTGATGGCAGGGACCCATAATCCCAGTTATTCAGGAAGCGGAGGCAGGAAAATCCTTTGAACCTGGGAAAAGGTTACAATGAGCTGAGATCATGCCACTGTACTCTGGCACTCTAGCCTGGGCAACACAGCAAGACTCCGTCTCAAAAAAAAAAAAGATTAGTAAGGCCAGGCACAGTGGTTCACGCCTGTAATCCCAGCACTTTGGGAGGCCAAGGAGGGAGGATCACTTGAGCCCAGGAGTTCAAGACCAGCCTGGGCAATATAGTGAGAGCCAGTCTCTACAAAAAAATTTAAAAATTAGCTGGACATGATGGCACACACCTGTACTCCCAGGATGACGTGGGAGGATTGCGTGAGCTAGGGAGATCAAAGCTGCAGTGAGCCATGATCATGCCACCACACCCCAGAGTGAGAGCCTATTTAAAAAAAAAAAAAGAATATGATACAGTTCCCAGCTCTTTAAAAAACATATTCTAACCAAAGAAAAGTCTTCAAGGAAGAGGTAGTATTTAAGATAGGCCTTGAATTAATACGATTTATTTTATTTATTTATTTTTGAGATGGAGTCTTGCTCTGTTGCCCAGGCTGAAGTGCAGTGGCCCAATCTTGCCTCACTGCAGCCTCTGCCTCCTATTCAAGCAATTGGATGAGTAAGATTTAAAACCAAGAAAGAAATATTTATGAGAGCATTTTACATGCCTTTCATGTTAAACACAATGTGAGCCTAATGAGCACAATCCTCACTATGAGTTTTTACTTACAAGTTGCTCATTTAAGAAAGAAAAAGGCAACTTTTGACTGTATTACCTGCATAGAGAGTTGGGCATTCTGCATGAGAGTCAAACAATATTTGATCCAGCATCTTGCTATTTCCCCCTTTCTTTGATGATAAAGCTCTGGCACTTCTCCTTCAGCTTCAGGAGCTAAAATATACATGTGATTTGTTTAAGTTAATAATCACAACTGTAATTTCCATTGGGTACTGTAATATTTTTTATATCACTTTTTCCTGACTGTAAAAGTAACAGATCTTCACTGAAGCAGGGGGTTCAGGGGAAAGGGAAGAAAGACCCACCCCAAATCCTACTACCCAGAAGCACTCACTACTATTTTTGCATATTTATTCTCATACCACGATCACTTTATTCATATCATTATCAACTCTCAGCTTCATTTTTAAATATAGCATTATATACAATTAAATAGATAATCCATTATTTAACCATTCTTCTAGTTCTAACCCGGAACTTGTTGTTTCCAATTCTAATCACAAAAACCTCTATGTCACACAACACGTGGTTGTGGGGAATCTGGTGCTAAACCATTCACAGATGAGCTGCTTCTGGGTCAGAGTGGCATACATAGCAGAGCAGCTTTCTTGCTGCAATCTATTGTAAGTCAGCCCTCAACACAAAGGTTTGTAAAGCTATATTTATTTATTTATTTATTTATTTATTTTAAACTTGAAACATAAATATATCTGTGCAAAAATCTGTCTGAATTTTGGATTACTTCCTTAGGACAGATTCCTAGAAGTGGAATTTACTGAGTAAAAGAGTTTATACAATTTTAAGTAATTCACAACATACAGCCAAATTATTTTCTTTTTTTTTTTTTTTTTTTTTTTTTGAGGCGGAGTTTCACTCTTGTTACCCAGGCTGGAGTGCAATGGTGTGATCTCGGCTCACCGCAACCTCCGCCTCCTGGGTTCAGGCAATTCTCCTGCCTCAGCCTCCCGAGTATCTGGGATTACAGGCACGCGCCACCATGCCCAGCTAATTTTTTGTATTTTCAGTAGAGACGGGGTTTCACCATGTTGACCAGGATGGTCTCGATCTCTTGACCTCATGATCCACCTGCCTCGGCCTCCCAAAGTGCTGGGATTACAGGCATGAGCCACCATGCCCGGCCACAGCCAAATTATTTTCAACAAATACTCCAACCAACAATATATGAGAATGCTCAGTAAGAACATTTTGAAAACATCGGACATTGATATTTTTTCAGCTTTCTATTTTGAAGAGTTAAAAAAAAAAAACCTCACAATATTACTTTAAATGAGATATTAATATCTCAGAAATTTATTTTATTAATTTTTTTTGAGACAAGTGCCTCTTTGACTTAAACTAATCTATAATTAATTCAATGTAGTCAATATATTAGGGGAGAAAGCAACTATTTACTTTGATAATGTACATTCCTTTAACCCTTAAGGGCCTCTGCATTTTTCAGATCCACAATTAGAATGTCCATTTTTAAAGAAGACATGATGTTTCAAAATCTAAAACATCTTAAGAAGGTTGGAAACTGTTCAACAGTGAGTTATAGAATCAAATAGAGGATAAATAATGAACTTATTATAAAACCTGTTAAACGACTCAAAGACATGTTAACTGTGATTTTCTAAGACTAAATGAAACCCTGTACTTAAAAAGATGGATATTTGGCTACATCGCTTATGCATGTAGTATTCCAACCAAAAATATATCATCTGAATCATGGCATAAGAAAACATCACACAAACCCCAGTTGACAGTAATTCTATGAAATAACTGGCCTGTATTCTTCAAAAATGTTATGTGATGAAAACTAAAGAAAGGCTGAGAAACTATTCCAGATGAAAAATGCCTAAAGAGATGTGACAACTGAATCCAATATGCAATCTTGAACTGTATAAACCAGTACTGGAAAACAAATGCCAAAAGGAATATTAGGGCAACAACTGATGAAATAGAAATATGCACTGTTGATAAAAGAAGTGTATCAATGTTACTTTTAAAAAAATTTCTTTAAAAAAATAGAGATGGGGGGGTCTCACTATGTTGACCAGGCTGGTCTTGAACTCCTAGCCCCAAGCGAGCCTCCATTCTTGGCCTCCCAAAATGCTACAATTATAGGCATAAGCCACCATGCCTGGCCAATGTTACATTTCTTGAATTTAATAAATGATCTATGATTATGTAAGAAAATATTCTTCTTAGGAAATATATACTGAAGTATGAAATGGTAAAGAACCCTAATGTATGTAACCTTTTCTCTAATGGTTCAGAGAGAAAAATAAAATTTGATTCCAAGTGAGGAAAACACTAAAAATTGGTGCATTTAGAAGAAAGGCATATGATAGCTCTTCTGTTCTTGCAACTTTTCAAAAGTTTAAAATCATTTCAAAATAAAACATTTTTTAAAAGCTATTTAAAACATGCATAAATAAACTTACTGTCTTCTGTGGCTGAGATCTTTCCAGTTTGACCAAAAATTACATTAGCAGCTGATAAACAGTGCCTGGCCTCCATAAAGCATAGCTATTGGGGAAATAAACAACAGTGAATGCAATTATCACACAGCTTTATTTGCAACTGATACCTGCATACTTTTTTTTTTAATATGGGAAAAGCTATAAAATCAGATAAAAATACCACAAAGGAAGCCCTTGTGGAGCTGCAGATCATTCAGAAGGTATAAAAGATATATTATCGTATTATCTGTTTAAAATGTTACCTCAAAGGTTAAAATAATAATGCCCCTAAACTCTTTAATAATAATCCAGTCTGGCTGAAAGACAACTACCAAGTAAAAGTTAGCTCTCCTTATATAATCAATGAATATACAGGAATGGCTGTCATCCTACACTTAAATTGCCTCAAAAGTCCTTTAGGTTCAGTCTAAATAGCCAAAATCCCATGCACAATAAATTCTTAGAGTATTTTACATTGTGTCAGAGGATTAAAATAAATTTTTTTTTTAAGAGATAGGGTACTCACCCTGGCCCAAGGCGGAGTGCAGTGGCAAAATCATAGCTCACTGCAGCCTCAACCTCCTGGGCTTAAGGGATCCTCCCACCGTTAGCCTCCTGAGTAGCTGGAATATAGGCACATGCCACCAAGCCTGGCTAATTCTGGGGTTTCTCTATGTTGCCTAGACAGGTCTCCAACTCCTGGCCTCAAGAGATGCTCCCACCTTGGCCTCCCAGAGTGCTGGGGTTATAGATGTAAGTCACCTTGCCCAGCCTGAAGATTTAATTTTTATTAGGTTTAGAGAGCCCTTTTACATCCTAATATACAAAGACAAATAGGATAAATTCAGATAGGAAGAGATTCCTGTGTTCTAAAATCTTTACAATTTACATACAATAAAACTTCCCACCAAGTTTTAAAGTCAACAGATTTCTATAGATGAACTTTATGGAACTGCTTTACCAACACTCTTGAAGACTTCATAATTCAATTCTCGGCACGGCAAACTTCTCAAACAATTAGAGAAGACCTCCTTGTTAACAGAAACATTTTGTACTTGTTATGTAAGTCAAAGGACCACCCAGCAGAAGTTCAAAGTTAAAGTCCAACTTTTAGTTGGAAGCCACCCTCATTAAACAGAACATCTACTTAATATTAATAATACCTGAAAGGCTTTAAATGGTTGGCTATAACTTTAAAATCACTGCATTAAATGTATCTTTTCATTATGGCAAATTCAGAAGCCCCATCTTGAGAATAGCTGGGCACATGTAGTATTAGGCCAGCAACATCTAAACATCTATAGATAAAAATGTATTAAATCTTTTTTTTTTTTTTTTTTTTTTAAATTTAGATGGAGTTTCACTCTTGCTGCTCAGACTGGAGTGTAATGGCGCAATCTCGGCTCACCACAACCTCTGCCTTCTGGGTTCAAGTGATTCTCCTGCCTCAGCCTCCCAAGTAGCTGGGATTACAGGCATTCGCCACCATGCCCGGCTAATTATGTATTTTTAGTAGAGACGGATTTCACCATATTGGCCAGCTGGTCTCAAACTCCTGACCTTGTGATCTGCCTGCCTCCGCCTCCCAAAGTGTTGGGATTACAGACGTGAGCCACCACGCCCAGCTAATTTTGTATTTTTAGTAGAGATGGGGTTTCACCATATTGGCCAGGCTGGTCTCGAACTCCTGACCTTGTGATCCACCCACCTCAGCCTCCAAAAGTGCTGGGATTACAGGCAGAAGCCACCATGCCTGGCCAGTGTGTCAACTCTTAAAAGCCAAAAGAAAGTTAGTTTACATAATGAAACTTTATCCCTCTACAAGCCAATCCCTTAACCATTATCATCATTTCAGCTTTGTCCAGATTGACTCCCTGTGAGCAACCACTGCTAAAACAGTGAGTGCCTTATGCCCTCTAGGTGGCTGGTAAATGTGGGACTTTAGCAGCTGCCAGGTAGGGATTCACCAAGTAGCAAAACCTCATCACTGGAATCAGATGAAGATGACAATGATATAAATGAAATTGCATTTTAAACAACATGGTTCAAATCCCTCTTTTTGCAATACAACTTAGTTTTAACAAAAACTTAAAGATTTTGGTAAAAAATAAAAGTACAGGGTGTGGAAAGTGCTCACGGAAATTACTGCATGCTCCACATAAGTAATGCTTAACAACTTTAAATTTAAAATCACACTTTAATATCTAGATATCTTAGTACTGCCAATATCCATGGAGTTTTAAGTATTAAAGTCACAGTGACTATATAATTTTAAAGTTGCTAAACAAAATGAACAAGGGGCCTCCAACAGCTATAAAAAAGATGTCACAAGCAGAGGCACTTGATAACACTTTTGATGAGAACAATGAAATGGATTCATGAGAATTAGTTAACTGAATACTCTGATATATGCAGTAGTGTTACTTACACACTTGATCTTAGACCAAAGTCCTAGAAGCGATGTTGCAGTCACCACAGCCCTTTCTCTCCTGCTAATAGCTTTTCTGAATGAAACTCTGTGGGACAATACTTTAATCATAGGACGTATTTACAGAACCAATGCTAACAAAATGCTCAAAAAGGATAAAGTCCCAAGGATAAGGCAGCAGGTTACCAGAGAGATGAAAGAAGGAACTCTGATAAGCAGAGAATCATCAAAATTTCAGAGGCTTGTGAATTAGAAATACGAATAAAAGCAATTTCTATTGCTGAGATGGCTTATTAAGGATTAATAGGAAAATCTAGTTAGAAAAGGTAAGGTAAAATTATTTTAGCATTAAAAACTTTTAGTGAGTAAAGGAATAAATGAGTCAAGAGTACATCAACATGATCTGAGCAATGCTTTTTTAAATTTTTATGAGAAATTCTGATAAACAACTAAAAAGTTAAAAAACATTGTCCCAAAGCCGGGCGCGGTGGCTCACGCCTGTAATCCCAGCACTTTGGGAGGCCAAGGCGGGTGGATCACGAGGTCAAGAGATGGAGACCATCCTGGTCAACATGGTGAAACCCCGTCTCTACTAAAAATACAAAAAAATTAGCTGGGCATGGTGGCGCATGCCTGTAATCCCAGCTACTCAGGATGCTGAGGCAGGAGAATTGCCTGAACCCAGGAGGCGGAGGCTGCGGTGAGCCGAGATCGTGCCATTGCACTCTAGCCTGAGTAACAAGAACGAAACTCCGTCTCAAAAAAAAAAAAAAAAAAATTGTCCCTGTGTAACAATGCAAAAGAAGTATGTCATAAAGACCTAGAACTTCGGAACTCAGCAGACATATTTCCAACATCAAAAAATTATTAGAGTTAATTCTGAAAAATAACTGAAATGCATCACATGCTTTTATCAAAGCCCACATTTAACAGTCAACTTCCTCAGTCAAATTCTCTGAGTTATGAGATTACCATTACATAAAGATAAAGTTATATCTACAAGAAAAATCTGCAATTTAAGGTAATATCTCACTAAAATGAGTTGAGATAGTGTGCCTATGTTAAAAAAAGCATTAGTCTTAAGTAACATGTATAACAAATGATAAAATTCAGTATTTTTAAACTCAAAAGAATTCATAAAACAAAAAGCTACAAAATTTTAGTACACTGGCAAATTGAGCTACATTTTCGGGTCCAGTTGTACATCATCAAATACAAGTTACCTGTTTTTAAAAGATGGTATATTCAAGGTACTACTGGTTCTATTTTTATACCTACTATTGGTATTCTGTTAGATAACTACTTCAAGAAGCATACCTTATTGATGTAAAACTGTGACAAGGTAGCAGCATTGATAGCCCACTCTATAGGATGGTAGGCGTTGTGCTCAAGCTGCCGCTTTAGTGTACTGTGGCAATAGTGAGCAGCCTTCTCAAACATTTCCAGATGCTGGTAGACTTGAGCTAGGTAATATAGGTTATGAGTATAAACTTTTTCAAATCTGTAAAGAAAAAGTAAATCAATATTTGTGTAATGGTTTAAGTTTTATAAGTAAATTTCATATATATTTATTTTGATCCACCAACCCTTTGAATTGAATTTATTTATTGTATCTATTTTACACTGAGTCTCAGGTTTGAACAAGATCACATAACAAGTAAGTGGTAAATGAATGTTTTACTCACATCAGAATCCAGATTCTGCAACCTTTATAAGTGCCTTTTTGAACAATCACCTTATCTATGCTATGTGGAAATATTTGTAAGGGCTAATTTCTATATCTACTCACCTTTTTGATCTCTCTTGTTCAGTAAGTTTCTCTTCTGCAGGAAGAAAACATTCAGTTGGATCAAGAGGAGGACTCCCAACCTACAATTAAGAAAAACAAAAGCTCTTTAAAGTTTTAAACCGTAAACACCAAGTGCCCTCTTCTGGAGGACCTGGAGAAATCAACTTTTACAAGACAAATACATTTCATTTTTTCCTAGTCCTTTTTTTTTTTTTTTTTGAGATCCTAGTTCATTTTTATATTACTTGAGAAGTAATTTTCCATTTTTAAAATTTTTATTTATTTTTTGAGACGGTCTCTGTCACCCAGGCTGGAGTAGAGTGGCACAATCTCAGGTCACTGTAACCTCCACCTCCCAATCCTCCTACCTCAAGCAATCCTCCTACCTCAACCTCCCCAGTAGCTGGAACTACAGCTCTGCACCTCCACACCTGGCTAACTTTCATATTTTTTTGTAGAGACAGGGCTTCATTATGTTGCCCAGACTGGTCTTGAACTCCTGGGCTCAAGCAATCGACCTGCCCTGGCCTCCCAAAGTGCTAGAATTATATGCGTGAGCCACTGCACCTGGCTTAACAAGTAATTTTCTTAACCATAAAATCTGAGTCAAACAAATAAAAGATATCCTATAAGTTCACATTTGACAAAAATTTAACTGTTGTTGCAATTAAACTGCAAATATGCAAAAAAAATCCACCAATTTGCTTTTAGACATATCTAATTCTTTAAGTATTTTGTTTTTTCTTTTTTTAATTCTTATTATTTATTTAGAGATGGGGGTCTTGCTCTGTTGCCCAGGCTGGTCTTGAACTCCTAGCCTCCAGTGATCCTCCAGCCTCCCAAAGTACTGAGACTACAGGCATGAACCACTATGCCCAGCCTCTTTAAGTATTTTAAATCATAATTTTGTCTGGTAAAAGGGCTTTTTAAAAAACCTACATGAGCATAAGAAATAGGAAAAATGTATATATCTCCACAGTAATATTATTCTAAACTGACCACTAATAAAAATCAAATGAGAGGTGTTTTTTTGTTTTTTTGTTTTTTGTCTTTTTGAGACAGAGTCTTGCTCTGTTGCCCAGGATAGAGTGCAACAGCACAATCTCGGTTTACTGCAACCTCCACCTCCTGGGTTCAAGTGATTCTCCTGCCTCAGCCTCCTGAGTAGCTGGGATTACAGGCACATGCCACCATGCCCAGCTAATTTTTGTATTTTTAGTAGAGACAGGGTTTCATCATGTTAGTCAGGCTGGTCTTGAACTCCTGACCATTTATTCTAATATTTTTTTCTCAAAGAAATAAGTATATTAGTCCCTTTCCATATAGGGACATTAAAACCAGATTCCATTATTTATTGTCTTGGGCAAGTTGCTTGATCTCTTGTGTTTCTGTTTCCTCATCTATAAAATAAGGGTAATAACAGTATCTATTCATAAGGTTATAAGGATTAAGTGAGTTAATATTTATAAATCACTTACAACCCCCTAATTTTTCCAAAAGAACAGAACTGCCTAACCTCTGCCTCATTCTATCCTTTTTTTTTTTTTTTGAGATGGAGTCTCACACTGTAGCCCAGGCTAGAATTCAGTGGCACAATCTCCACTCACTGCAACCCTCCACCTCCCAGCTCTCCTGCCTCAGCCTCCTGAGTAGCTGGGATTACAGGCCACCAACACCATGTCCAGCTAATTTTTTTGTATTTTTAGTAGAGATGGGGTTTCACTACGTTGGCCAGACTTGGTCTTGAACTCCTGACCTCGTGATCCGCCCGCCTCAGCCTCCCAAAGTGCTGGGACTCCAGGCGTGAGCCACTGTGCCCGGCCCCTCATTCTACTTCTATGAGGACAGTCCCATCTAGAAGCACACTCTTGCTTTTAACTGAATTAATTAAACTCCAAAAGCAACAATGCTTTCCAAAACAAATATGATTTTACATTATGCATGTAAACACTAAAAGCGGCATAACTTGGGCTCCCAGGATTTACAGAAAGTAAAAATAACTAAGACAGGAAGCAAGGCCCAAGGCAAACACAACAGATAAGTAATTTTTCAGAGAACTCTTCAACAATTCTGAGGGCTGCTTAACATGCTTACCCCTGTCTAGATGAGAGGAATTAATCAATATATTATTTTATGTACATACTTCACTGTTACGGCTTTCACACTTCGTATGTAACATTAACAGTCAAATCAGTCTTTCAACTGAAATAGTGGTATAACTAAGCACAAAGAATTTTGCTGTATGTGTTATGTTTCCATATCAATACTATTTTTAATGAAATACTATTGATGCTTAGTATCTTTTTTTTTTGTAAAGACGTGTTCTTGCTTTGTTGCTCATGTTTAGTCTTGAACTCCTGGCATCAAGAAATCTTCCCACCTTGGCTTCCCAAAGTGCTGGGATTATAAGTAAAAGTCACCGAGCTCAGCTTTTGCATTTTAGTTTATTTATTTTATTTTTGAGACAGGGTCTCGCTCTGTTGCCCAGGTTGGAGTGCAGTGGCTGGATCCTGGCTCACTGCAGCTTTCACCTCCTGGACTGACCTCCCGGACTCAAGCCATCTTCCCACCTCAGCCTCCCAAGTAGCTGGGATCACAAGCACAAGCCATAACACCCAGCTAATTTTTTTTTTAGTTTTTGTAGAAACAGAATACCACTATGTAGCCAACGCTGATCTTGAACTTCTAGGTCAAGCAATCCACCCACCTCAGTTTCCCAAAGTGCTGGGATTAAAGGTGTGAGCCACTGTGCCTGGCCTCAAACGTTACATTTTAAATTACCATACAAGAGTGTGAGCCTAAAAGCAAGAAAGGAGAGACTAACATCTCTATTTGGCTTTGTGGCACACTGCTCTTCTTAGTACCACAGGAAGAAAGTTAAAATGCCAGGGTACAAGGCCAGGCATGGTGGCTCATGCCTGTAATCCCAGAACTTTGGGAGGGTGAGGTGGGCGGATCACTTTAAGTCAGGAGTTTGAGAGTAGCCTGGCCAACATGGTGTCTATAAAATATAAAAATTAGCCAGGCACGGAGGTGGGTGCCTGTAATCCCAGCTACTCGGGAGGCTGAGGCAAGAGAATCACTTGAACCCGGGAGGCAGAGGTTGCAGTGAGCCAAGATCACACCACTGAACTCCAGCCTGGGCGACAGAGCAAGACTCCATCTCAAAAAAAAAAAAAAATTAAAAATAAAAATGACATTGTAACTTCTTCCACCATTAAGTCAATAAGCTCTATAAAATAGTAAAAATATTTTTATTCAGGGTCACTAATAATTGTTTGACATCAAACAAGTACAAAACCATATATGAATTAAAATTTTAAACTAATTTTTTAAACTGAAAATCTCCATTAAATTCACTCAAGTACTCATATACTTATAATACTGTTTTATTTTTCTTCTTCATATTGCTCTGGATGGACAAGGTAAAATATTCATTATTAAAAAAAAAAAAAACTGGCCAGACACGGTGGCTAACACCTGTAACCCTAGCACTTTGGGAGACCGAGGCAGATGGATCACAAGTTCAGGAGTTTGAGACCAGCCTGACTAACATGGTGAAACCCCATCACTACTAAAAAAATACAGAAATTAGCTGAGCGTGGTGGCGCTGTAATCCCAACTACTCAGGAAGCTGAGGCAGAAGAATTGCTTGAAGCTAGGAGGCTGAGGTTGGAGTAAGTAGAGATTGCACCACTGCACTCCAGCCTATGTGACAGAGCGAGACTCCATCCTTAAAAAAAAAAAAAGCTTTCTCGTTCCCTGGCCATCTTAGCGTCTGCTTTTGATTGGGGGCTGTCCCACACCTAAGGCAGGAAGATGGTGGCCGCAAAGAAGACAAAGAAGTCACTGGAATCAATCAACTCTAGGCTCCAACTCGTTATGAAAAGTGGAAAGTATGTGCTGGGGTACAAGCAGACTCTGAAGATGATCAGACAAGGCAAAGCAAAATTGGTCATTCTCACTAACAACTGCCCAGCTTTGAGGAAATCCAAAATAGAGTACTATGCAATGTTAGCCAAAACTGGTGTCCATCACTATAGTGGCAATAATACTCAACTGGGCACAGCATGTGGAAAATGCTACAGAATGTGCACATTGGCTATCATTGATCCAGGTGATTCTGACATCATTAGAAGCATGCCAGAACAGACTGGTGAAAAGTGAACCATACAAAATTTTCCTTTAATAAAATTTTTCCAAGCTTGTTTTAAAATACAAAAACAAATTAAAAAAAAAACAAAAACAAAAAAAAACCAAGGCCGGGCACGGTGGCTCTTGCCTGTAATCCCAGCACTTTGGGAGGCCGAGGCGGGTGGATCACGAGGTCAAGAGATCCAGACCACCCTGGTCAACGTGGTGAAACCCTGTCTCTACTAAAAATACAAAAAATTAGCTGGGCATGGTGGCATGTGCCTGTAATCCCAGCTACTCAGGAGGCTGAGGCAGGAGAATTGCCTGAACCCAGGAGGCGGAGGCTGTGGTGAGCTGAGATGGCACCATTGCACTCCAGCCTGGATAACAAGAGCGAAACTCCGTCTCAAAAAAAACCAAACCAATCTTGCTCTGTCACCCAGGCTAGAGTACAGTGGTTCAATGATACCTCACTGCAACCTCAAACTCCTGGGATCAAGTGACACTCCTGCCTCAGTCTCCCAAGTAACTAGAACTATAAGTGTGTGCTGCCACATCTGGCAAATTTTTAAATTTTTTGTAGTGATGAGGTCTTGCTATGTTGCCCAGGCTGGTCTCAAACTCCTGGGCTCATGTGACCCTCCTGCCTCGGCCTCTGAAAGTGCTGGGATTACAGGCATACAAGCTTCTCATATCATTTTGTAGTCAAGCATTCTGATGCCTGAATTTAGCAAACATAATTCTGTATGTTTAGTCTCTTTTATATGATATATAATGTTATTTCAAGTTTTTTAATGTTATAAAAACACTTTATTAATGGATTTTTTTTTGAAACAGGGTCCTGCTTTGTCGCCCAGGCTGGAGTGCAGTGGCATGATCTCAGCTCACTACAGCCTCTGCCTCCCAGGTTCAAGCGATTCTCCTGTCTCAGTTTCCTGAGTAGCTGGGACTACAAGTATGCGCCACCACACCCGGCTGTTTTGTATTTTTAGTAAAGATGGGGTTTCACCATGTTGCCCAAGCTGGTCTCGAGCTCCTGACCTCAAGAGATCTACCTGCCTCAGCCTCCCAAAGTGCTGGAATTACAGGCATGAGCCACCATGCCCAGCCATATTAATGGGCTTTTAAAGCAGACAGATGTGACAAATAGTAATCCACAGCAAAATATTGTACCTGATCATTTCTCTTTCATATTAAAAAAAAGTTTATTAAAGAAACAGATGTAACACAGTGGCTTGTCACCTTTATAGGCTGTGACCCCTAAAGTGAGAGTTTTCAGCATTAGCTCCCCAGAGCCCTAGAAGTTCTACAGCATCTCTTTTATACTACTGAAGTGGGGAGGAAGGAAGAATCTGCAGTGGACTGGGCTCTGGGTTCTTCTAACCTCCTTAACCAGAGTAACTCAATCCATTTTATTTTATTTTTTTGAGATGGAGTTTTGCTCTTGTTGCCCAGACTGGAGTGCAATTGCACAATCTCAGCTCACCACAACCTCCACATCCCAGGTTCAAGCAATTCTCCTGCCTTAGCTTCTCGACTGGCTGGGATTACAGGCATGCGCCACCACACCCAGCTAATTTTGCTTTATTTTTTTGAGACTGAGTTTCGCTCTCGTTACCCAGGCTGGAGTGCAATGGCGCAATCTCGGCTCACCGCAACCTCTGCCTCCTGGGTTCAGGCAATTCTCCTGCCTCAGCCTCCTGAGTAGCTGGGATTACAGGCATGCGCCACCATGCCCAGCTAATTTTTTGTATTTTTAGTAGAGACGGGGTTTCACCTCGTTGACCAGGATGATCTCGATTTCTTGACCTCGTGATCGACCCGCCTCGGCCTCCCAAAGTGCTGGGATTACAGGCTTGCTAATTTTGCATTTTTAGTAGAGTTGGGGTTTCTCCATGTTGGTTAGGCTGGTCTCAAACTCCTGAACTCGGTGATCCGCCCTCCTCGGCCTCCCAAAGTGTTGGGATTACAGGCGTGAGCCACCGTGCCCAGCTTCAAATCAGTTTTTATACGCTGTATTTTCAGAAGGGTTTCACAGGTTAAAAAAAAAAAAAAACATTGAAAAACCATTGCCCTGAAGCAGTGGTTCTCAAAGTACAGTACAGTACTTAGGACAACAGCATAAGCATCACTGAGGACCTTGTTAAAAATGCAAATTCCTAGGCCTCACCCCAGAACTACTAAATCAGAGACTGGAAGCCCAGTCTGCTGTGCTTTCACAAGCTCTCCAGGAGATTTTAATGGGTGCTAACGTTTGAGAACCATTGCTTCAAAGATTTCAGATGTTTTGTTAAAAGTTATTGCTTCTGTCAAACAGTGGTATTTTCATTGAAAACCAAAATAGAATGTTTAGATTATAAATACAAAAACATGCAAATAGTATTTTGGGATAACATTAGAATAACGTTTCTTTTAGCCGGGCGCGGTGGCTCACGCCTATAATCCCAGCACTTTGGGCTGAGGCGGGTGGATCATGAGGTCAAGAGATCGAGACCATCCTGGTCAACAAGATGAAACCCCGTCACTACTAAAAATACAAAAATTAGCTGGGCATGGTGGTGTGCGCCTGTAGTCCCAGCTACTCAGAAGAATTGCTAGAACCCAGGAGGCAGAGGTTGCAGTGAGCCGAGATCGTGCCATTGCACTCCAGTTTGGGTAAAGACAGCAAAACTCCTTCTCAAAAAAAAAAGAATAATGTTTCTTTCATAATTGTATTTAGACTAGGTTGCCATTATGTCCTATCCAAGGATTATTTTTTTAAAACCCCAAAGTCCTTAATATGCAATAATTTCAGTTATTAGGTGACTTCCCAAATAGCTCTATAGAGAAGTTCCTGGGCACAGTGAAGAGTCACAGCGATATGATGCATGAGGAATTCTTACTATCAATTCTTGACTAGTTTTCAATCAAAACTGAAAAATTATCTGACATGTAACATACCTCTTTCATATATTGATTATATAGTGCTTCTGATGACTCTAGGTAAGCCTGTGCAGTTTCAATTTCTTCTCTTTCAGACCACAGGATACCCAGGTTATTCTAGAAAATAAGGAAAAAGAGAAACAAACAATAATATAAGCCTTCCAATTAAAGTAACTTTCATAGTTTTAAAGTCAATACTTACGAATCAAATAGTGGAGTTGGATTACCAATGAATTAATAATTCCCAATGATACTAACCTTATGTAGTACAGCAGGTAGCTGCTAAAATGAACCCTATTTCTCTATAAAGAGAAATAAAATTAAATTAAAAAAAAAGAAAAGCTTTGTTTAACCTATGCATTCTAGCTGAGATCTGTTTGCCTCAGGCTAGTAATCACAGGTCCATGTGCCAGCAGATACCTTGCACACACAAAATTGAGTAATACATATCATGTATAAAAGGTAAAGACTATATGGTCCCTGTATATTTAAAAGGAATAATACCTAATTCTCATGGGTGAACAATTAGTGAGGGGCAAAGAGACAGAAGTTACTAACCCACAAGGGAGAACCAAGCAAAGTCAGCAGAAAAGAGAAAAGTCCTGTGCTCTGGGAATGCTGCAGAATGGGCGCTGGAAGGTTTCAGGGACCAGGCGGCAATCCAGGTCATACCAGGAACATAAGTGGATGTCAGTAAATGTGGCAAAGGGCCTTCAAGCTGAAGAAAACTGAACAAGCCAAGACACAGAACCACAGGAGTACTGCCTGTTCAGAGGAGAGTGAAGCATTTGTTCTGAGTAGCACGATGTGAACTAAGAAGAGACATAAAACTCAGGAAAACCTCACCCAACGAGAGAGTCCAGAAACAACACTGGTCTGTATTTCTTAACAGCAATTCAACAAAGAATCTGAGGTGGCCTGCAAAACTAACAAGAGAGCAAATTATCTTCCCAAAGGCAGGGGCACCACATGCTCTTTGCAGAGGGTCAGTAGCCAAGGATCATGCTGCAGTCCCTCCCCAACCCCACTGTGACACCCCAATAATCAAATTCACCAGGAATAACCTTCCTTAATAGAAAATCTCTCTCCTCTCAAAATGTAAAACAAAAAAGATAAAATCAAAGAAAATAAAACAAAAAGAGACCATCAGAGCAAGCTTTAGCCCTCATAAGTCACCCCTACTGAGAACAAGGTCTACCCCATTACTGAAACTGATTTGTAACACTGTTCCTACTACATCCTCCTCTTCAAAAAAAGTAAATAAATACCACACAAAATATAAACTTACCCCAAATAAAAGTCAGCATCAACCTAAGGATCCTACTGTAATATTACTACACTAACCAAGGATATTTTAATCCTCTTCCAACCCATTTCCAAAAAACTCCTCATGTGAGACTTCTGGAAGCATTACAAATACTGTTGCATTACAGTCCTCTTCTTGATGTAGTCTGAAGTCTTAAAACAGAAAAAAATTTACATATTTTTCTACACCACCACTGAGGGTTAATTATCATAAAAGGCCTACAACCAAAATCCCCATCCCCTTGATTCTCAAGCTATTAGAAATTTCCCCTCATATTAAACAATGGGAAACACACATAGAAGATGAAAAGTCATGCTAAAATTTTAAAAAGACGAGCCATGGTGGCTCATACCGGTAATCCCAACACTTTAGGATGCTAAGGTAGGTAGATGGCCTGAGCTCAGGAGTTTGAGACCAGCCTGAGCAATCAAATGAAACCCAGTCTTCACAAAAATACAAAAATTAGCTGGGTGTGGTGGCACACAACTGTGGTCCCAGCTACTTGGGAGGCTGAGGTGGAAGGATCGCTTGAGCCAAGTAGGTGGAAGTTACAGTAAGCCATGAGGTGCTACTGCTATCCAACCTGGGCAACAGAGCAAGATTCTGTCTCAAAAAAAAAAACAAAAAAAAAACATGAAAAAGAAACTGTGTCACCACACTAACAGTCTAAACTTTGCCTAAGACAAAATAAGTTTACTTGGTTTACCCAAGTTACAGGCATATTATAAAGTACTCAAGAAATTAACACCCTATAAAAACAGTGAAACAATTTTAGGTGGGAGCATAAAATTAAAATCATCTCATCCTCTGGCAAAGGGTTCTTCCAAAATGCCAAGTCCACAGAAGGGATGTGTGGCAAATCATCTGCACAGGGTTGTCTCCCATACCTGCCCACTCTCAGGCCAACAGCCTTTACCCTTTTGTCCAGGTCCACTTCAGAGGTGCAGGAATATTGAATGCTTGACGGATATCGGCTGGCTTTTTGTGCTGCACATGATGTCCTCCAGCACCTGCTGCCAATGCCTTAGCTTTGTCAAGTGCTTCCGGACCAGTGCGTATCTCCAATATTATTTATTTCTTAGTTCGGAGACATCCTCATTGACAACTTGTTCTAGTTTCTGGACAGATAATTGCAATCTCTTCTTTTTTTTTTTTTTTTTTTTGACACAGAGTCTTGCTCTGTCGCCAGGCTGGAATGCAGTGCCGCAATCTTGGCTCACTGCAACCTTCGCCTCCCAGTTTCAAGCAATTCTCCTGCCTCAGCCTCCCTAGTAGCTAGGACCACAGGCGTGTAACACTATGCCTGGCTAGTTTTTTGGGTTTTTTTGTTTGTTTGTTTGGCGTGGGGGCATTGTTTTTGTTTTGTTTTTTTTTCCTGTAGAGACAGAGTCTGACCTTGCTGCCTAGTCTGGTCTCAGACTCCTGGCCTCACACCATCCTCCCACCTCAGCCTCCCAAAATGCTGGCATTACAGATGTAAGCCACTTGCCCTGCCCAGATTTACTGAATAAACCAAACACCTTATAAATGGGAAACAAAAAGTTATTATAAGAATTCAAAGGTAGGAAGGAGAGATCAGTTTGGTTCAAAATGGTCCCAAGAAAGTTATTAATACTAAAGGAAGTGATTCTTGAGATGGGTTTTGAAGAATGGGGAAGAATTCCCTGAGATACAAACAAATGAATTTGATAAGAAAGGAAGCTAAAAATTTTGGACATTTTGTTTTGAATTAAGAATGTATCCTGAAGCCAGGTGCGGTGGCTCAAGCCTGTAATCCCAGCACTTTGGGAGGCTGAGGCGGGTAGATCACAAGGTCAAGAGATCGAGACCATCCTGGTCAACATGGTGAAACCCCGTCTCTACTAAAAATACAAAAAATTAGCTGGGCATGGTGGCGCGTGCCTGTAATCCCAGCTACTCAGGAGGCTGAGGCAGGAGAATTGCCTGAACCCAGGGGGCAGAGGTTGCGGTGGTGAGCCGAGATCATGCCATTGCACTCCAGTCTCAAAAAAAAAAAAAAAAAAAGAATGTATCCTCAGCTAAGCACTGCGGCTCTGGCCTGTAGTCCCAGCAATTTGGGAGGCCGAGACAGAAGGATCACTTGAGTCCAGGAGTTCAAGACTAGCCTGGGCAATATAGTGAGACCCCCATCTCTACGGAAAATTTAAAAAATTACTGGGAGCAGTGAGGTGCACTTGTGGTCCCAGCTACTATGAAGGCTGAGGCAGGAGGATTGCTTGAGCCCAAGAGGTGGAGGCTGCAATGAGCTATGATGGCACCATTGAACTCCAGCCTGGGCGACACAGTGAGACCCCATCTCTAAGAAAACAAAACAAAAATGTACTCCAGTCACTGTCATTTCCTTGAAACGTTAAGATTTAAATTACTTCGGATTTTCTTAATAGAATGAATAGGAGTTGGAGTGGTGGAGAGGAAAATGCATGACAATTCAGGAGGGTCTCCGACACCAATGCATCGCCACAACTAAGTGAAGCAACAGCAAGCGATGTTAGAGTGGGCGACAAGGGTGAACAGGGAGCTTGGGGGCGACAGTGGGAGATCTAGTTACAAAGCAATAAGTCCTTTAGACTCGCCTTGTTGAAGATCATAGATGCTCTCTGGGACTCAGTCCAGAGCTTCAAAAAACATGGAGACGAACTGCGCCTTAGAATGTCTGCCCTTGGCCTTGGCAAGGGCTCCTCCCCATCCCTCGCCATTCACCGTCAGGGGCCGGCCTGGCGGGGCTTGCTCTCACCTGCGCCTGGATGCAGAGGGAGATGCAGTCGTGCGAGAGCCGGTACCTGCGCAGCAGCCGCAGGCATTTCACCAGGTGCTCCTCCCCCGCCGATAGCTCCTCAGTGTCGATGTGGTTCACCCCGAGGTGGAACTCGATGACCGCCAGCCTCACCGCTCGCTGGCCTACAGGCCCCTCGGGCTCCACCACCTCAGCCGGTAGCCCCAGGGCGTGGTCATCCGCACCTGGGCAGTCGTCGGCCTCAGGCCGCTCATCCTCGTCCTCAGACGTGGGGCCGAGCAGCGCCTTGACCTCTTCGAGCATCGCTCGGGCGCTGTATTTGGACTTGTACGGTTCCTTCTCCGGATTTTTATGCAGTTCCACCCGCGACAGGGCCAGCGCCGCCTGGAATTTCTCGCAGACCTCGGCCCACGGAACGTTCGCCATAGCGGCCTCTACTGCCTGGCTTTCCCCAACGTTTGCAGTCGGGACTCCCGCCTTCCTTCTGCTTTGCGACACTTTACTTACGGCTCTCGACAGGTCGGGGCCGCTGCTGAACGGGAACCAATAAAACCCGCCCGTAAAACCGCAATACGTTCGTCAGCGGCCAATGGGAAGACGGAGCAGTCACCACAGCAACCATTCTCATGGAAATGAAGTTGTCAATGAGCATGTTCCCGCCTCCTTCCCCGCCCCCTGCAGCGGTGAGTTTATATCTAGATTGACCCTGTGAGGACGGATTTATATAAAAATGTTTAAGGCCGGGCGCGGTGGCTCAAGCCTGTAATCCCAGCACTTTGGGAGGCCAAGGCGGGTGGATCACGAGGTCAAGAGATCCAGACCATCCTGGTCAACATGGTGGAACCCCGTCTCTACTAAAAATACAAAAATTAGCTGGGCATGTTGGCGCGTGCCTGTAATCCCAGCTACTCAAGAGGCTGAGGCAGGAGAATTGCCTGAACCCAGGAGGCGGAGGTTGCAGTGAGCCGAGATCATGCCATTGCACTCTAGCCTGGGTAACAAGAGGGAAACCCCGTCTCAAAAACAAAAAAATAAAATATAAAATAAAAATAAAAATGTTTAATCGGCTTACTTCAATGAAGCATATCGGAATATTTTTTACAAATATGGCTAGCTAAGTCTACTCGCGTTGATATTAACTGAAAGGCAAAAACCTTTGGACATTAAGTGTATACCCCAGCCTATCACTGGATAAAAACCTGTTTTAAAAAAGGCCAGGAGCCTTGGCTCACGTCTGTAATCCTAACATTTTGGGATGCCCACACTGCCGTAGGCAACATAGCAAGACCCATCTCTACAATAATTTTTTTTAGCTGGACATGGTGGCGAGCGACTGTAGTCCCAGCTACCATGGAGGCTGCGGCGGAAGGATCGCTTGAGCTCAAGAGGTGGTTACAGTGAGACGGCTTTAGAAAAGAAGAAAAAACGAGCCTCAGAACAAATACCTAATGTATGTGGGACATAAAACCTAGATGAGGGGTTGATAGGTGCAGCAAACCACCATGGCGCACGTATACCTATGTAACAAACCTGCATGTTCTGTACATGTATTCCGGAACTTAAAAATTAAGACAAAAGATTGGGCAGGGCGCGGTGGCTCACGCCTGTAATCCCAGCACTTTAGGAGACCGAGGCGGGTGGATCATGAGGTCAAGAGATCCAGACCATCCTGGTCAACATGGTGAAACCCCGTCTCTACTAAAAATACAAAAAATTAGCTGGGCATGGTGGTGTGTGCCTGTAATCCCAGCTACTCAGGAGGCTGAGTTAGGAGAATTGCCTGAACCCAGGAGGCAGAGGTTGCAGTGAGCCGAGATCGCGCCATTGCACTCCAGCCTGGGTAACAAGAGCGAAACTCCGTCTCAAAAAAAAAATTGAAATGTAGCCAAGATCTGATTGAAATGTAGCCAATATCTGCTTTTTTTGTTGTTGTTTGTTTCCCTCTTATTGCCCAGGTTGGCATGCAATGGCGGGATCTCTGCTCACCACAACTTCTGCCTCCTGGGTTCAAGCGATTCTCCTGCCTCAGCCTCCTGAGTAGCTGGGATTACAGGCATGCACCACCACGCCTGTCTAATTTTGTATTTTTAGTAGAGACGGGGTTTCTTTTCCTTTTTTTTTTTTTTTTTTTTTTTTTTGAGACGGAGTTTCGCTCTTGTTACCCAGGCTGGAGTGCAATGGCGCCATCTCGGATCACCGCAACCTCCGCCTCCTGGGTTCAGGCAATTCTCCTGCCTCAGCCTCCTAAGTAGCTGGGATTACAGGCACGCGCCACCATGCCCAGCTAATTTTTTGTATTTTTAGTAGAGACGGGGTTTCACCATGTTGACCAGGATGGTCTCGATCTCTTGACCTTGTGATCCACCCGCCTCAGCCTCCCAAAGTGCTGGGATTACAGGCTTGAGCCACCGCGCCCGGCCCGAGACGGGGTTTCTTTATGTTGGTCAGGTTGGTCTTGAATTCCCGACCTCAGATGATCCACCCACCTGGGCCTCCCAAAATGCTGGGATTATAGGCGTGAGCCACCCCACCTGGCAATTATTATCAGTATTAATATGTAATCTCCTGAGTGAGAGCCATAAATATACAAAACAGTGATAGATAAATATTTTCACTTTGACCCTGAAATACAGGTCGTAGGAATCTGTACAACTGCCCACGGTAACAAGAGCTAAGTCCCACAACTGTGAAAGCCACCTCAGATCTTCAACCTTCCTAAGTTATCAAGTCAAATGGGGAGGGGTGATTTAAGATTTTAACTATTAAGAACTACCTGTGTAAAGTGCTTCAAGACATACAAATGAGCATTGATTTTAGAAGGTCATGGACATACGGTTTGAATCTCAGATCGACCAGCTTTCTTATTGACAAGTTAGCTTTTTTAAGCTTCAGGTTTCTCATAGTAAAATGTAAATACTACTACTTACCTCCACAGAATTATTCTGAAGAATAAATAAAATTAAATGTCTGTCCCTTTAATGCTCCTAAAAATTCCTTCCTAAACCTTATCCCTGGGAGATCTTATCCATTTCTAGGTCTATCATTACATGTGCTGCTCACTCCCACAACTCTGTCTCCAGGCCAGATGGCTTTCCAGAGCTCCAGACTGGAATATCCAACATTCAGCTAGAACAATCACACCTGAATGTTTCAATAGCTGCTGTATGTCAGTATGTTGAAGTCTAAATTTATTATCTTCCTCTTCACATGCCCCTTCCTTCCCATTTGCAAATGGGAAGGAAGTCCTGTGCTGATCTCGAAGTCCTGTGCTTAAGCAATCCTCCCACTTTAGGTTCCTAAAGTGCTGGGATTACCAAGCCCAGCCTCTTCTGTTATTTATGAGACGGAGTCTTGCTTTGTCACCCAGGCTGGAGTGCATTGGCTTGGTCTTGGCTCACTGCAACCTCAGCCTCCTGAGTAGCTGGGATTACAGGTGTGTACCACCACACCTGGCTAATATTTGTATTTTTGGTAGAGATGGGGTTTCACCATGTTGGCCAGACTGGTCTCGAACCCCTGGCCTCAAGTAATCTGTCCACCATGGCCTCCCAAAGTGCTGTGATTACAGGTGTGAGCCACTGTACCAGGTCTCTTTTATTATTAAACCTAAAACCAAATAGTACTATTCTGCCTTCTAAATAGTTCTGTGTACATCTTTTTATCTCCCATTAGTTTAGGCCACCATTATCTGATTACTCTTTTTTTTTTGAGATTAAGTCTCACCCTGTCGCCCAGGCTGGAGTGCAATAGCATGCTCTCAGCTCACTGCAATCTCCACCTCCTGGGTTCAATTGATTCTCCTGCCTCAGCCTCCCGAGTAGCTGGGATTACAGGCACGCACCACTATGCCCTGGCTAATTTTTTGTATTTTTAGTAGAGATGGAGTTTGACCATGTTGGCCAGGCTGGTCTTCTCCTGACCTCGTGATCCACCCACCTCAGCCTCCCAAAATGCTGGGATTGCAGGCATGAGCCACCGTGCCCAGCCTCATCTGATTATTTCTAATAGGCAGTCCTGCCAGTCTGGCCTCCTATCAGTGCATTCCCCAGTACATTTAAAATGATTTGGACCAGGTGTGGTGGCTCACACCTGTAATCCTAGTGCTTTGGGAGGCTGGAGTTGGGAGGGGAGGGGATCGATTGAGCCCAGGAGTTAAAGACCAGCCTGGGCAACACGGCAAAACCCCATGTCTACAAAAAAAAAAAAAAAAATTAACCAGGTATGGTGGTGGATTCCTATAGTCCCAGCTACTCAGGAGGCTGAGGTTGGGAGGATCACCTGAACCTGGGACATGGAGGCTGTGGTGAGCTGTGATCAAGCCACTGCACTCCAGCCCGGGTGACAGACAGAGGGAGACACTGTAAAAAAAAAAAAAGGAGGCCAGGCGCGGTGGCTCATGCCTATAATCCCAGCACTTTGGGAGGCCGAGGCAGGTGGATCACAAGGTCAAGAGATCAAGACCATCCTGGTCAACATGGTGAAACCCCATCTCTACTAAAAATACAAAAAATTAGCTGGGCATGGTGGCACATGCCTGTAGTCCCAGCTACTCGGGAGGCTGAGGCAGGAGAATTACTTGAACCCAGGAGGTGGAGGTTGCAGTGAGCCGAGATGGCGCCATTGCACTCCAGCCTGGGTAACAAGAGCGAAACTCCGTCTCAAAAAAAAAAAAAAAGGAAAAAAAACTTGTTCAATATTTAGTGTCTGTCATTTGCCAGGCACTGTTGTAGGTGCTGGGAATTCCGTAGTAAAAAATGTACAAAAATTCACCAACCTGGGCAATGTAGTAAGATCCCCAGCTCTACAAAAAAATTCTTAAAAGAAATATTGGCCAGGTGTGGCAGCACATGGCTATAGTCTTATCTATGTGGGAGACTAAAGCAAGAGGACTGTTGGAGCTCAGGAGTTCAAGGCTGCAATGAGCTATGATCACGCCACCACATTCAATCCTGGGCAACAGATAGACCCTGCCTCAAAAAAAAAGACAAAAATCCATGCCCTGGTATAGGGAAAACAATAAATATATTAAATACATAAACCATAATGTAATGATTGGAAATCTGTCTCATGACAGATAATTAGAAAAGGCCAGGCATGGTGGCTCACACCTATAATCCCAGCACTTTGGGAGGCCAAGGCAGGAGGATTGCTTGAAGCCAGGAGTTCACAACCAGCCTGGTCAACAGAATGAGACCCCAGCTCTACAAAAAATTTAAATATTAGCCAGGTTTGGTGGTGCCCACCTGTAGTCTCAGCTACTTGGGAGGCTGAGAGGAGAGATCACTTGAGCCCAGGAGTTCAAAGCTGCCTTTAAAAAACATATCTGAAGGTGACAGACAAGTATGCAAACACGTATATGAGGATGTTAACTTAGGGTTGTTTATAATGGTGAAAAATTAGAAATAACCAACACGGCCATCAAGTACTGGTTAAATGTATAGTGACATAACCATACAAGATAACATGTCCTTCAAAATTGTCCTTGTAGGCTTGTACACAATTGTGCATAACATGTTGGGGGGTAAGCAATTCACAAAAT